CCTTTGATTATTATTTTCTCCCCTTCCCTGTTAATTTTTCCCTCAAGGACATTGCATTCAGTTATACATGGCAGTAAGTGCTCATTAGCAGCTCCACTAGACTCGTTTCTTGACTTGCGCCAAGACAAGCTAGTGCATTTTCAGGACAGGGGTCAGAACATCCTCTCCCCTGTGTGCTCCAGAATGAGTTGTTCCAAGAAATGATTCTCTTAAGGTCATACTTTCTGACAGAAGACAAGTTTAGAAGCGAATGATGGAAATCCTACATTATAACTTTATTAGATTTTTGTTGTTCCTCTTATCCCCCTGCCCATTTTGCTTACTAGTGTTCCTTGTAGAGATCACTGGCATGTCACTCCTTGAGGATATTGTAGTTTTCTGATAACTGAAATCTTTAGATTTCTTTGTATGGTCCTGGTTGCACAAATTTCTGATAAGGAACGCTTCAAAGATTCAGGGAATCTCGTCTTTGCAATCTCCATAATTATTTTGGCTTCCAGTGAAGAGTTTCACAAAGAATAACCCCAGTAAAGTGAACAGAGATGTTCTTCAGAGAGAAAGAGAGAAGTTTCTCGATAATTAAACTGCATGTTTAAGATGGACTCCTTTGGCATCTGAAATTGAACAATATGGTAAGAACTTCAAAATATTTTGATTTGGCCAGTTCCATATGGGTATATCAACTATAAAGGAAGGTCTCTGAGGTCTGTCAGGAAAGGAAAGCATCCAGAATACTGGAAGAAAGCAAGCATGAAAATCTACTTCAAGAACAAGATGAAGGCAAATAGAAAGAATTGTCAATTCAGTTTTGACTTCCACGTTAGAAGATGCAGGTCCTACCACTTGAAAGAAACTTTGTAAATTGCTTGATGCTGTATGTGGCAATTCTCAGAACTGTGAAGGACTCATTAGTACTTCATATCCTGCATTCCAGTGGCATGCTGAGAGCTGAAAATTTGTGAGATGCTTTCCCAGATACAGGCCAGTGGATATTATCTATATTTAACTCTACTACTGTAAATCTCATTGTTTAGTACATCTAGATGATGAAACATGATTTAATTGCTGAACAAAACCTGAAAATGCCATTTCTGCAGTAAAGTCCAGTTAAGTCAATAACATCTGTTCTTGGTATTTGAATTTTGCTTTCCTCTTGCTTTGGAGGCTTAAACTCTCCCTATCCCATCAAGACTGGTGGGCAACTATTTTGAATTCTAGGGAATGCAATCCATGTGTTTCCTGCAAGGTGAAGAGGGTAGTCAGTTCCAGTTTCCAAAAGCTCCACTGAATTAGTCTTAAAGAGACCTCTAAGTCACCACTGATTTGAAAATGCTTATACCCATTATAACAAACCTACTCCTGGAAGATCTCAAGTTGTCTGGCTTGCTTAGGCTAAGCATCTGTTGCTTTGCACTCACGTAATCCCATTGTTACTGGCTCCAACTCTGAGTAGAAGCATCCAAATTAAAGAAAAAGAAGAGGTAGAGCTGGATTCCTTGGCATGTGGCAAGTTGTTGAAGGAGAAGGGTATGACTGAATAGCAGTGGATGATGGCCCTGGGGAGTAGCAGTTCAGTGGAAGAGCTGGTGAAGTTGCTTATAATGATGTGTTGAGCTGTGCACTCTCACCTGCACACTGGCTGGCAGATCTGAGCACACAGATCATCATGTTGTTCTGTACTTGTTGCTGAGACAAAGTTTTTTGTTGGCACAAGCTCTTTGCCATTATGTCTATATCTAGATCAGTGGTTAGCTAGATTTTTGAGCTGCCTCAACACGACCTTCTCTGCAAACTTTATTTTGCAAAGTTATAATTGTCCAGACTGCAAGCTTCAAGCATTAACTTTTCAAGCTTTGTCTTGTCTTGCTTCTATTGTGAGTGACTGCAGTATCCTTCACTAGGTAAGGATAGGTACAATCCTTGGGTTTCCATAACTGCACATCACAAGTGTAGGCCCATTTCTGAGTAATGGAAATACCAAATGTTCTCCAGCTGGGCATAAGATCTCTCTATAGAACTTAAGCATTTAATGGTAAAGAGAATAGGTCTGAGCATCCCTTTCTGGGCAGGGGAACAGTGGGGCTCAACTGGGGTTGGGACCTCCTGGCCTTGGAAGCCTGACCATCTGCACCCTCATTCCCCCTGCCCCCCAACTCCTCTGCAGGCAATGAACTCTCTGGGTGAGTTGTGTCAGACTGAAAACCCTGGAAAGTCAGGATAGTGGAAGCAGGAGCTAATGGGACTTGCATGTTTTTATCTCCATGTCAAGCCTTTTATCTTCAGTTTCCTGATGATTTGATTTCCCATCTGTGCAGTGCAGAGCTGCAGGCAGGCTGGCAGGAGCCTGGGCATGGTTCCAGTACAAGATAGGTTTCCACGGTATTTGGCTTTTTACAATTGCTAAATGCTTTGATTTTGATGAATTGGCATTTTCCTATGGAAAAACATGCCTTTGGAGACTTTCCAGTCAGAATGTAACCAAGTTTCAGCATATTGCAAAATTCCTCCAGATGAGGATTTATTGTGTAGCTATATTTTTAGTAATTTTACCCTTTGCTGTTTTCTTTGTATCTTAACAAATAGAAACAAATGCAAATATCATTATTATATATGTTGTAATGAGGTTGTCTATTTTTGCCTACGGAAAAAGGATATAGGTATAGACCCTTAAATACAATACCTGGAAAGTAGGTAAAATTCTTCAGGAGCCCTATGTAATGAAATAGTGAATTTTCAAACCCAGTTTTGCAGCAGAGCAATATGAGACGTCATGGAACATTAGATTGAATAATTCAGTATTTGCTTAGTAATTTCCTTCTAAAGCAGACTTAGCACATCTTAATGGAATTCATAACTTTGAGCAGACGTTTGTGAACGTGTGTTTATATTCAGTGTTGGTTGATTCTTACTTCATGGACCAAAACACAGCCAGGGCTGCTGGGAGAATCTAATGGTAAATCAGTGCGTGTGAGCAACGCTCAGAGTGGCAGATGCAGCCCTCCTCTGTGCCTCTATGAACACAGTAAATGTGAACCAACCATCATTTTGGGCTTGTAACCACAGGATGGCAGATAGGCACTCACCAGGGAAACTCGCATCTTCTGCAAGAAACTCATTCCCTTAAAATGAGTTATGTGAAGTAGCTAGTGCGGGCCCTTTCTCTTTATTGTGTTACAGTTTTTGAAAACCCCTCCTCCTACCACATTTGTACAGAGTCTAGAATTCAAACCACAGCTCATCATTCTGTGTTAAGGTGAGGTAGTAAATGAAGGGCCACTCAGATGAGTTGCATCAACATAAATACAGAATGCATCTTCACCTTCTCAAGCAGCTAAGTTGCCATATGAACACCATATGGGGCTGCAAGTCTGCTGAGTGTGTTTTCCAGAAGTATGAGACCGCCTCATACCCTCTCCAACCAGCAGCCTCTGGAAAAAGGAAAAGAAATGCTTTGTAATATTTAAGGTTCTGAGTATGATATCTTTTATGCTGTTGGTTTTTTGTTTGCTTGTTTTAACCACATGTATGTGCAGTGTAGCAAGCAACTTCTCTAAATGTTTCCATTGTGTGTAGCTGTGATGTGTTTGTGATCACCTGCTTCTCAGGGCCAGCACTGAGCTGCATTCACCCCACATAAGCAATCAGCCAAACTGCTTTCCTGCAAGAACTTTAAGTAAATCTATGATTTGATTTTATCCAATGTAATTGAAATTTTGGCTTATATTTTGAGTGCAGCTGGTTTTATGTAAAGCTTCAATGGATGTGTTGAACCTGGGTCAGCTGAGCTGCTTTCAGATGATTTAATGCTGACATCTGCTGTTATCAGGATCACAACTTGTGATCAGCTGCCAGTGCTTCCATATATTTCAGAAAAATTATATTTCTCAGAGGGGAAAGTTAAGTTTATGTTTGCATAGTAGATAACTGAATAGGGAGGATTTTGTTTTCTTTTGTATGTATATCTATTTGTTAAACACAATCTTTAGAAAGAGTCTTAGTTTCTGAAGCTAATGAAGCAGTTTATTAATAATAGAAATTGTTCAAAAACAAACAAACAAACAAACAAAACAACAGACTTTGTCAACAAGCTCCTGCTTCTAGCACTATCCTAGGCCAAGCCATTCTGAATTTGGTCCAAAATCAGCTGTTTTTTTTTTTTCTTCAGATCAGAATGGGCAAAGAATGATCTTTAAATACCAGCTGGATCTTCCCAGCTGTTTGTGACTGCTTCAATCCTATACTTAAATTACAGATGATCAAAACCATTGATGATTAGTATTCCATATGAGTGTTCAAAGTCCCAGTGCTGCCATGTGTGAAATGAGCTGGTGTACAGAGCAGCTGAAAAATAATCCCAGCCTTAACTCTCTGCTCTGTCCCTATGGGATGAAAAAAATCTAAGGAGAAGGTGAACATCCTTATACTGTATTTTGCCTTGTTTTAATAATAGATTTTCATTTATAAAGTCAGCTACCATTAAGAATATTGACCTGTAATACAACAAAAGCTATCTGGGAACTCAAATGGTTCTGAAAGTGGAATGCAAATGCTGCTTACGGCCGTGGTTCATCCTCATCTTTAATGTTATATCATGCTAGCAAAACATTTATAGTGTGAGAGATGTGTGAGTCCAAGTATTACACTAGTAGTTTAAACTAAAGACATGCCAGAATTTTCTGTGGTGTCCTCTGATGTGTATATATAGTGGAGTGAACAACAAAGATGAAATGTGAGTGTTGCAAATCAAGCTCTTGCTCAACCCACCATCAGTATTCAGGAGAAAGCTTACACAGCTGCTTCTCAGCAACTGCTAATGATAAAGTACCCTCTTACCTTCTTGCACATAATGGCAGTATTCTTACCTAGGTGACCCCCAGGACTTGACTGTCAACATCCAGGTGAAAGTTCTGCATCTTTATTTTTCCTAGGTATGGATTTTACTACTCTCTTTGACTTCAAATTTTGAGATTTTTAACAATGTTTGCTTACTTGAGGTGCAGTGTATTGGAGGCCATCACCTTTGGCTCGGACCCCTTCTGTTGTGAGGATGCTGTGAGTTGGCTGGAGGATAGGGTGGCTCTCAACATGGAGCTGGGATGCAGCCAACTGGGAAACTAGGAGTGCTTCTGGATGCCCAGCCTAGAAAAACCTGGTATATACTCTTCTACTTTTGTTCAGCAATGACTGAACCATGACTGTTTGCTCCAGGGAAAAGAGGGTCTATAGTCAGTTCATAGAACCACAGAATTGTTTGAGTTGAATGGGACTTCAAGCTCATCTAGTCCAACTGTCCTGCAATGAACAGGGACATCTACAGCTTGATCAGGGTGCTCAGAGCCCCATGCAGACAGATCTTGTTCTTAATTCTGTTTGTTTGTTTGTTTAAATAAAAGTAAATACATTCCACGATTTTTAAAGCTCAAGCCTTGCAGGAAATTTGTTCTGTTTTGGGCTGGATTCGGCTGGGGAGGAGTCCTTTTTAAGCAGAGGAAAAATTTCTGCAGAGATGGAAAGCCATAGGGAGATGACAGATTTAAAAGTCATCTAAATCTTCCATACCCTTGTAAAACTTGTCATTTTATTGTTTCTCATTTGAAAAAGAATTGTAACAAGAAGTTCTCAGGTTATACCAAGTCCAAGCAAGTACATAACTTGCAAAGTAAGATGTTCATGTGAGAACCAGAGTCACTTTCAACTGCAGTGCAGAACTCAATCCAAATCCTTTTTAAGCTTTTAAAGAATTATTGTCACTTCCACAGATTCCATTCTGTTTGCTGTTCAATCTTGTGTAACATGCAAGTAAATTAATTCATCACAAGTCTGTAATGTTTTCTGTTTATGTGCCTATATTTAGCCTGCTTTATTTGTCAAGGGTGATTGTGATTCATTCAGCTGCTGGCAAGTAGGCAGAGCCCTATGTACTTTTTGCAGTGTGCCAGAGCACTGAAACACAGAAAACCAAATGATCGGGCTGAAATTGTTCAGTTACTGGCATTTTCACAATGAAGACCACTTCTTATCCATTGTGTAGTTCTTCATTGCTTCAAGGATAAGGATCTTGTCCAAACAAGATTTTGCGTCATCTGATCTATGTAATAACAATCTGAAGGCAGTCTTGAAATCTGATTTTAGACTAATTATGACTGTTTTTACCTCTTTTTTTTTTCCTTCCTTATCCCGTTAGTAGAAAAACCTGGTTTCTTTGGAAAATCCCATCTACAAAATCTCAAGGAAAAAAAAAAAAACCACAACAAAAACCCACCACAAAACAATCACAGTTGTTGTCACCCTCAGTTAAATAGAAAAAAAATGGAAAAAAAATCAAAAAGAGAAATGATTAAAGACTGAAATGTCATTGTGAGCTGAGGCTGAAGTTCTTTCTGTCTTTTTGCCTCATGGCCAGTTGCCGTTGGGTTGTCAATCCTGGAATGGGGCCTGGGGTGGGATGGGACCCGGAGTGCACCCACACAAACAGGGGCTCTGCACTGTAAGGGAGGAACAGCTCTGGACTTAGGAGTGCACGTGGGGCTATAGGTACTAAATATATTTCTGATTATGTGAAACATTTCATTGACTATAGAAACTTTTTCCTGTTTCAGCAATGAGGAAGAAAATGGAGGAACTGGGGGGGAACCTCTTTAAGGAGCAAGAAGTGGTGGTGATCAAATACCTGCTGTTGGATGTAAGAGTAACACAGCAAGTGTGCAACCTATAACTCAGGTGTATTATCTCATGCCTCCACTTGCTGCTTAACCATGTGTCTTTTTCAATTCTTTTTTTTTTTTTCTTTCCTAAATAAATTGGTTGCTGTCATCTTCTAAAAGTTTCCTACTGTCTGAGCTGCTGCTATACTTCACTATCATACTTGGATAATCTTTTTCATGTTTCCTGTACCTTTATTTTGTCTCTTCTAATTCTGTCCTTCAGTTCTACTCTGTCACTTGAGGACTTGCTGCCTTACCTCTTCCAAACTCTTTCAGGACTGTCCACACTTTCATAGTACTTTCTTTCTTCCTCTTATGGGGGGAGGGGGTGAGGGGGGGAAAGAAAGTTTAATTGCAACATCAGTTCCCCTCAAGTCACTAAACTGCAGGAATTGTGTGTTCTGGTTATATACAGTTGGACTGATCTAGTATTTTTCAGTGACTCTGAATCCACTTGACTGAAGGCTACTTTCACTGGAGACAAAATTCTTTTTTTGAGCTGTAGCTAGAACAAGCTGTTTGATCCAATGATGGGAAACAGTTAATTCTGATCTTTCTTGACCTCTGTAGTTTTGGTTGAATGTTGAGTCATGAGCACACTGAGCATGTATTTTTCCCGTCAGCAATCAGATCAGTTACAGTTAATTAAATATATAGTGTTGTTTTAGACAAGCCTAGATGTTGGCATGAGAGCTTAAACAGTTCATAGTAAAATTGCTTATCTGCATGAATAAAACACTTCTCTGTCACTGTTCCTACATAATGGGCAACTAGGATAAGCATCTCACTTTAACTATTGGTTCCTGGCTCTGGCTAATGGCCATGTGCCTCCTCCATCTAACTGCTGTAGGAACAGACAGCTCATCTCTTCTGTGGCAGCCAAATGTGGAACACTCAGTATGGAGGAGCAGTGAAATTCTACCCTTTCTTTCTTTTTGTTTTGTTTTGTTTAAGCAATGACAACTTTAAAAGTATGCAGCACAGTTAGATGTGCACATCAAGAATAGGGTGTGGTCCACCTGTCATACAGTTCATGCTGGGGCTTTGCTTAGCAGGACTTTATTTATTAGCGGCTTTCTTATTTCATTTTCTTCCTACGCTTGAAGCTGGAGTGTTCTGCTGACTCACTGGGGATTTGAAACGTGGTGCAAGTTGTACACAGATGAGGAAAAAAATCAGCCTTGTTTGAATAGTCATTCTTGATAGGATTGGGCAAGCTTCTTCAGTTCACAAAAGTTACTGTATAACTTTGCTTAATACCCATTAGGTGAAACTGGAGAACAACTTTTCTTTAGAAGCACTTTTGGAGAGAGATCCAGTAGTGTTTGGATTATTTTCTGCCATCAAAATGCACACTAGAAACTCTCTTACGTACAAATGGTAGGATTGAAGTGAAGTATTTGACTGAAACTTGAACCTTTGTCTTATGAATCCTCAAATCTGTGTCATTGAATTTTTTGTGCTTGCTAATACCAGTAAGTGTTGGTAGAAGAGAAGTTGAAAATGGATTTCAGCTGGCCTATGGCTTGCTAGAGGAGCACAACTTCCTCTAGCAACAATAACTTCCAACAATATGAGAGAGAAATCTCACTTTTTGTTGTTGTTGGTGGTGGTATGCAAGTATTGGGAGAGCAATGCCTCAAGAATTATATAAAGGACACAGAGAAGAGTTTTTTGTTTGTTTTTTTTTCTCCCTGTCAGGTATAAGGATTTCCTTTTCAGAAGGAAAACAAAGAAACAATGATCATGCAGTATTAAGTCTAGCCTTAAATGAAGAATTTTTGTGTCACCAAGCAGACTGCCTGAGAGCCTAACAGTTTGCAGGAACTTGCAACAACAAAGCCTCCTTTTGCTGACAGACCTTTGATAAGATACATGGAAACAGTTTGAAAGATGTTACAGAGCATATGATGAACAGAACTTAACAGTGGTTACAGGGATCTGGTGGCACACCACTGAGGTATCCATGCACACCTTGATTTCTCTAACAATTCAAACCCAGCCTTATCAATTTTTTCTTGGGGACTTCACTAGCCAAGACTTCTTGAGCGCCTAATAAGAAACATTAGGCAGCCTTCACAATGCTGTTGGGAACTTCTCAGCCTCCTGTGAGAATACAGAGGTACATAGCTTTACGAGCTGAGCCGAGTTGCGCTTCTTCCTTAGAGAGGCCTTTCCTTAAAGAAAGAAATGACATGCCTAACTGCACTGAGGGTCTGCTTTCCATTTTCCTCTTTTCTTTGAGATGCGTTCAGAACTTCTAAGGCTCTGTTTGTTGTTTTCTCTGATGGAAATTACTCAGCAGAGAACAATGCTGAGGAAACATAACTGTTACCTGGAGTAGATGTGGTTTTGACTGAAGCTGTTTGCCATTTGTAAATGTTTCCCTGTTATTGACTGTGATCCTGAACCTGTTTGAGGTGAGATTACAGTGCTACCAGTATTCCAGTTAACATAAGCTGTTTCGTTTTCTGAACCACTTCAGCTCAGTGACTTGTAGCGTGGTGTTTAGGGTCCACATATACTTTATCAGGTTGAAAAAAAAGTTAAGCCAAGATAGTGTTTTGGCTAATCTTTGATGTGTTGACTTTCATATAACTTCATAAAGATAGCAGTTTAGCAACCTGGTGTGAGAGGATTCCAGTTATCATTTTTGAAAAGTTACTTCTAATTAAATTTAGACAGATCTAGGAGACTCAGCATCTCATCCATCTCTCTTGCTAACGTTTTGCACTGTTATACTCCTCTTCCACTTTGGTGCAAAAGTGTTCCTTGTGGTGATAACCATCTACAAACGTAACCCTCTCATGACAATGGCAAAGTTGCATCGATCTTCTTTGCAGCACTTTGCCCTGCATGGGCACTGTGTTTCTGCTACATTGCACGTCACAAGTGTCTCCTCTTTGCTTTGGACAGAAGGCAGCTGCTTTTCTCCAAGTGAAAGCCTTCCTTCAGAAGCCGCTGAGTTCAGCTGAAGCCTGATTCAGAAAATTCTTGGAAATTTCTTCCTCGTCAGAGTGTGCTCTGCTTTGCTCTTTGACACAGTAATATTTAAAGTGTTTTCAATGTGAACACACTGCAGTATATCCTTCACATGTTTGGCAACATCAAGAATGGGGAATGCACGTCTGCAGCCATGGGAGCTCTCACAGGAGCTTTCCATGAATTTAAGCCCCAGATGATGTGAAATTGGCCTTTGGATCTCCGGAAGTTGCATGAATGATAAATGTCTTTTCAGGCTGTTTAGGATCACGTTAACTGGATGTCTTTTTTTTTTTTTTTTTTTTTTTTTTTTTTTTTTTTGGTTGTTGCTTAATAGATATAAAAACCTTGCTTCAAATTTTCTGCGGAGTTGAACAGATTGGTATTTACATGGAAATGAAAAAGAACTTTTAAAAATCTTCTACCCTGCCTATAATATCAGTAGCAGCACATGTGTGAAGAGCTATTGTGTCACTGCCTCTGTGACATTCCACTTTCATTTTGGTGGACTTGGAGAAAATATTTATGGGGGAGAGGTATCTTAATGGGGGACTCCAATGAACTGTATGCACAGACCTCTGGCTCGTTCTGTACTGCATCAGCTGGTACTGGGGCTTGGTACTAGGTTTAGGGACTGAAACTGGGGTTGCAGAGGCAAGTGCAGCAGGAAATCTTTCCCAGCATTACAATTAATGCACTGATTTTTTACAACTTCTCAGTTGATACTTCTTTCTTGTTTGCTTTCATCTTCCAGCCAAGTTCAGTTATAATGATTATAACTCGCCTATTTAAATCCCCTTTGCTATTTAATTAGTTATTATATTTTCCTCATATTTATTCTTCAAGGCTAATGCTGCGATTTCTTCAGCAGCTGTTATGTCTCATTGCAGGCTGGCCTTTTCTTAGTGAGGAGTATGAGTGTGATATATATTTTTGTACATGCTTTTTATGATCACAGTCTCTTGCAAACGGCTTTAAGTTCTATAGGGATTAAAGACAATACATAAATCTCTGATTATGGTTATTATGACTATTCTAGCAAGAGCTGGCTGAGGAACAACGATCTGACTTGCTACAGCCTTTAAGGTTTTGAAATTCCCTGTTGGAAGAAGATCAAACTTTCCGCTGTCTGTGAAGCAGAGCTGTTGAGACATCCATTTTCATATTCTCAAGGTCAAGCATTTCTTAAGATTTTTCTCTATAGCATCAGTTAAGACCTCAGAAACCTACCCTAACTAAATGTAAGTTGTCTTCACTGAGCCTTGCGATTCTAATAATGTTCTATTGAATGAAATAGATTTAATAAAATGTGTTTTGATGGTTGCCAATGTTCATTTCCAGAGTTTCCCCATGGTGGAGAAAATGACATCTTATATGCTCATGCTGTGCTCTGATAAATGTGAACTTACTGTATTTACTTTTAGTGCTTTTGAAACAGATTTAATATTTTTTGAAACAGCTCTTAAACTGAGATGGGATTAGTAAATAATTAATAAGAATTTGCATTTTGGCTGCATTCTTTAAGAGAGTTCAGTATTGGACCAATTTGAACATCCTTCACCCTTGGTTTTGTGTCTTTCTTCAGTCATTCATGTGGCACTTACCTTGGATATCTTCAGCAACCAGAGAAAGCAGCTCTTTAAAATGTATGGAGACAGCCACCAGATCATGGCAATATGCAAAAAGCGTGGTGTTGTAACAGAATTATGAAGTGGCCTCTGGGACAGTGGTGAGTTGGGAATCAGTCTCTTGAAAACTGATTTTCCCTTTGTGTCCTCTGCAAAACCAGCTGATCTCTCCTGCACCGTCCTCACCAAGATGCAGCAAGCGGTGCTTGATTTGCTGTGAGGAAATGGGGCCAGTGTGCCCAGGCGGATGCAAACTGTGGTCTGCGTTGTGTCAGCGTGGTCCTGGGGCATTGTATGCAAAGACGTGTGAATCTCAGTCTTCCTCGCTGCTAGTGCTCCCAAATGCACAGTGCAAACCCACATGTGAAGTGTGGTAAAAAATACCAACAATAGAACTGTAAACATTAGTGAGCACTGCTTGGTTTGTAGGAGTTAGGGATTGACTCCCCTGTGTTAATTGACACCCCCTGGGTTAATCACTCATTTACTGGAATGAATGATCACCATTCAGTGCAGCATGTGCTGTGAAAAGAGTAACAAAAAAGACAAATATCTAAAACCTATTGTTATGCTAAGGTAGATAAGCATGCAAATAAACCATCACAGATTGAAAAGCAGTCTGCTACCAGGATGTGTTTTTTAGGTGTTCTGTTTTTGTTTTTTGTTTTTTGTTTTTTTTTATAGTTCTCACTGAGCTAGGAGAAGGAATAAAAATAAAATCAGATCTTGAAACCAAATTTCAGCTTTCAGAAGAATGTGATTAGAGTATTTGTTTATCCTCCCACCTCCAATGTGCCACTTCTCTAGGGGATTCAGCTATTGCAATCATAAGAATGATTTTAATTTGTGGGAAATGCATCTTCGTTTTGCCATGCTTATAACTTGCTGGAGGGAGATGAGGGCCCTTGCTATCAAGTACTTTAATGGGAAACTTCAGTTGATAGATTATTGGGAGAAGCACTTCGGTGTGATCTGTAGGAAATTAAAAACACCTCCACTGTCAACAATGGTGTCATAGCCCTGAGGTAAATACTTATTGCTGTGTTCTTATCTATGATTGGAATCCTTGGAGTTGCTCATGCAAATGGAATGAGTGGAATTGTCAGCCTCTACCAGCTGTGATAAAGTGGTACATCTGGGGAAGGTACCTCTACCAATCACCTTACGTTTCTTAATTCTTCGTTGCTTCCATTAAAGAGCCCTAAACCAAAACCTTTAAATCAAAATAGCATTTGTTAGGAAAAGTCTAATGGGAAGGAAAAAAAAAACTGAGATGACATGTTATCCTTCTATTTTACTGTAATTGTGTAGAACTAGTGCAAGTAAGAAATGCAGTGGGTTCTTTACAACTTTTTCACCACAAAATGTATTCATCAAGAACATTTTTGGTGGAAAGATGATCAAAACTAAGGAATGTAAAAAAGTGAAGGGGAAGAATATAAAGAAAAACAAAGAGCTAGAATTAGTTTGCCTCAGGATTCTAGTTCACTAAATTTTAGTCTGTGACATTTTTCTTTGGCATGCAAATGAATATAACAAAATGCCTGTTTTAAAGTATCACAGAGGGGAGAAAAACATTCCTTGTCAGTGACAAATTGCCTCTGTACAAGTACTTTGGATCCTGCCGGGGAATTGCCCAGGCTCTTCTCAGTGCGGGCCTTTCTGTCTATTCATTTGCTGTAGGGTCAGCCATACACCTGTACTGGAAGACAGTTCCAGAGGCTGGTCTACAGCTTTGGCAGATACTCGTTTTCTGGAATCTGCCCTAATCCTATAGGGCAGAAGCCAGCCTGTACACTTCTTCAGCAGAAGTTCAGTTTCACAAAGCACCGACATTAGTATGAACTGCCTGAATGAGTGTGTGCAGTGTCCCTCATCTTAGTTGAAGAGGTGTTGGTTGCTTCAATCAAATATAGCCTTGGAATAGCCCAAATTCTGGTTGGATGGGCTCTGGGTAGCCTGATCCTAGTGATTGGCAACCCTGCCCACAGCAGGGGGTTGGGACACGATGATCTTTAAAGTCCCTTCCAGCCCAAGACATTCTATCAATTTATGTGTGGGGCAGCGTGGTCAAACTCACAACAGAATGCTCATTTTGAATCCCAGCATCTCATAGGCATAGTTCATTTGCTTTCTGCTATTTACAGCAGTGATTTTACTTCAAATGCAGCTGAAAAACTGCAAAAAGCTTTCTGTTCTCTTCCACGTAGAAGTCAAGAAAAATTCTTCTCAGTATCAATGCTTTCTGCATTGAACTGATAGAGACTGAAAGAAAAAGCTTTCAGTGCAGACACTGCCTTCATAGATTCACAGCAGGAATTTGTACAGTGTTTTACTTCTGCTTGACCCAAGTCTATGCTACTCATTTCTGGTTGAAATCAATACTATTATATTAGCAAATACTGTTCTGTGGTGTGCTTGTGAGGGTGTGTGAGCACAGGGCTCAATACCAGAGAAATGTGTACAGACATTTCCATGGTATTAAAAATGTTACATTTCATCTTAAGATTTAAGTGCACGGAGCATAGGTCTAAGCTCTGCTAGGGTATCTGGTTAACGTATGCATCTGCATTTAGATTGTACAGACGAGGAATACTGGCCTAAGTAGGACCTGTTCTTTGTCACTTGTTTTAAAGAAATGCAGAGCTTTACTCTGGCAATGACACCTGATTCTTTTTCTTACACCTTGCTTGGGTTAATTATTTTGAGACTCTTGAATTTAATGTGCTCTGTCAAACCTTAACCAGGGCAGCATCAGAGACCACACGCTCAACAAAGCAAAGATGGCTTTCTTACACTCTCTGCTTTCTCATATCATCTGTGCTCAACTGAACATCATAATTTTGATGGTAGCAGGAACATCGGTTTGAAATCTAATTCCTTTCAGTTCTTTGGTCTTTTTCAGATGCGTTTAATGGGTGGTAGGGATTCTCTGATTTAATCTTCCTGTTCTTGAGTGGCGTTCTGCAATGTGAGTTCTTAGGAAGGAAATGGATTTTCAGACGTTACTAAGTGACACCTAAGAGTCTCTCTCTTGGTGAAGAACAAAGGTGCCCTGGGAATCCAGTCTGACTGGGAGAACGGAAATTTTCCAAATGTGTTAGACTTCCTTTTGTGAGCTGGGGTCTGGTGAAGTTAGCACACAAATCTGCAAGCCTTCCACCTAAAATCCAAACGATCTCAGTACTGTATAGGTAACTGCCTTCGCCCATTCTTGATGTATTATGGTACATAACATGGGGTGCCCAGCCCACACCTCACACAAGCTTGGGGCTTGGTGCAGGAATTATGGTGTGAGTTGCTGCATAGGTGGAATGTTAAGTGCCTGGATGCTAGTTTAGCATGGTTTAGAGGTGACTGTGTGGAGATGGAGGAGGAGCCTCCTGAAGTGTAAAAGGCTGCTGAAAAAGAAAGGGAAGAAATTGTGAACAGAGTGAGGGAGGCACGGTGGGCTTAAATTGTATTGGGATAGCAGTTTGGGTTGTTAGGAAATCTTTCCAGTGGGCAGCCTAGCAAAGCTCTGGAATAGACTAGAGACAGTTCTATCAGGGAAGATTTTTATGCAACAGTGGTTTAGAAATAACTCATTCAGCTTTTGAGTAAAAGGATGGAAGGTTGGGACTCAGCAGCCTCAAGAGGTAGTGCTTTTGCCTTTGTTTTTCCCAACCGAAAATTCCTTCTGGAAACTCAGTGAGATACAAGAGATTCCATTTTCCTGCACCAAAGCATGTGATCAATGCAATGCACATATCATACAGGATGGGGAAGTCATCTCCTGCTAAATGCAGAAGTCAGGAGATACTTTCTGAAGTGTTTCCACCTTACTGCATCCCATCCAAATCTGACTTGTGCCATCTGTGGTAAACAGGCTATTGGCAGCTCTCTGTTAAATGGCCTTCAAGGCTAATTCAGGCCCTGTTTTAGATTATTCTAGTCTTGCTGCCTTCGTGTCTGTAGATTGGCTGCTACTGTGCATGTAAAAGCATTATACTTTTCCCTGCTCAAGAGCAAGCTTGTGCATTCTCTCTAAAAGTTCATGAATTCTGTTCTTTCCTGTTGATGTTGGCAAGTATCTATCAGAAAGCGCACTCTGTGTTTTCATTGTGGCCATCTGTCCTGGTATTAGCAAAAATGATTGCATAATGCAAACAACAGAATCCTTTGAGAGAGAGGGAGAAAGAAAGATACACAAGTCATGTGGCTGACATGTACCGCAGTGATCCAAATAATTATGGAATCAGAAATAATAATAATGTATTAGATTTCTCAAAGGAAAAATGATTATTCTTCTGAGGAACTATTAAAAACACAATATACAATAAAAGCACCCAACTGTAATACAAACGAGTGCCTGAGGCTCCAGAGCACTCATAAAACAAAGCCATCGCTGTGCATCTTTACAGCAAGAAACATAATTAAAACACCTTTCCTGACAAGGTAAGTCACTCTTCTTTTTGAGTGACTCTCACATGGCTCACCTCTAAGGGTGATCTGCTCTTGCTTGACACTGGATGGTCAAAGATCCAGCAGGTCCTTGCTCCTGTACTTTTTGCAGTGCATTTGAGGAAGTATCTGTAGGCACGGATTTTAAGTGGTCTTTACTTCAATGGCACAGATGGGAAATTTGGTTTATTTGTCATGATTACTGAGCTGATGAGTCATACACGTTGCTTGAAAGAAGGTAAAGTTTTGTTGTGGTGGGGAGTCTCAGCAAGCACTGAGTCCAATCGAGCTAGTGGGAGAAGATGCAGAAATCTGCAAGTAAAAGTTCAGCTGCCCAGGGAAGTTTTTTTGTTTGTTTAAGCAAAATTTGCAGCCATCCTCTGTTATTTCATGAAGTAACTTCAGGTTATTTGATTTTCTCACTTCAGCACCATTGGCACAAGCAAGCGTTGTTTCTGGGGTTGTCTGAGCGCTGGACTGGGGTTTGACTTTGGGTGACTTTTCTAGAACTTGAGTATTGTGAAAACTTTTGTAAGGAACGCATCATCTTCGCAGCCTTTCACTAGTTCTGTTTATGATTTTATCCCAGAATTAGTTATTTTAATGCCAAAATATTTAGTTACGATATTTATAACAAAGATAATTTACTGTCTTTGGTAGCAAGTGTTTTTGTTTTTTTTTTCTTTTCAAACAGTTTGTCTAATTCTGTCTCTTGACTTGATAATGAATCGGATGAGATCCGTCTATTGTCAAAGGCAGAGACAGAGAAAGGGCAGCTATGATAACTACCTTCTTTGATCTTCATATGCCACGCTTGAAGAAGAGCACACAAAGACTATACCTTTATGCTTTCAGTAATTTACAATAACCAACATTAGGTTTATTATGCTGGCCAGTAAAATGTAATTTATTTTATTCTCTCAGAGAGAGACTCTCAGCATATGATGTGTTATGGTTACTGGATAAGAGGATCAGCGGCTGGTGTGATTTATATGCACTCCCCCTAACGTTTTGCCATTTTTTTCCCGTATATGGGAACCGTGAGGATAAAGAGGGAAGATTTGAAAACTAAAGAATACACTTTTGATCTCCAGGGAAACAAGCTTTCAGATAAAAGACTCCTTGCTGCCCCTTTACCAGCACAAGTGAGACTGGAAAAGGGACTC